GGTGTAATTTTGGATATGGAGCTGTGCTGCTTACTGTGTCCCTCTCCTCCTCTTCTTTCCCCAGCCGGAGGAGCTCACCAACGCCCTGGAGATCAGCAACATAGTCTTCACAAGCCTCTTTGCCCTGGAGATGTTGTTGAAAGTCCTTGTTTATGGTCCTTTTGGCTACATTAAGAATCCATACAACATCTTTGATGGGATCATCGTGGTGATTAGGTACAAACCTAGAGCAAGCTTTATGTCTGTTTCCCCTCATTTGGCTGTTTAATTAAACAGAAAGTAGTGGAGAGTGGGCATAAACACCTTCCTATGACGCTTTATACTTCTCTGCTGTAAATGATTTCTCCTAGACATGATTGCTGATACATATCTTGGAGTTGTTTTATGGTCGTTTTAGAAAGAGGCCCAAGCAGAAAACTATCAGTCTCAAAGTCCTGGGAAAGTCTAGGATCCAAATGGCACCACCACTGCCCCATTAAGTAGGTGTCTGGGTTTTTTTTGGCATGTGCAAAAGCTGTAATTGCCCCTGCAGCTGCTGATTTGCAGGTGTGTTTTTAACACTCCGGTGATGTCCTGCTCTTTGCAAGCCTGGATGGAGGCCAGCTCACCGGGAACATCGGCAGCACGTGTCTACCTGTTTTCCACCCCTCCCTTCTCTGAATTTCACCCTCCCTTTGCTTCCTCTCCTCCGTGCCTTCTCTTTAGGCTGTCTTCTCACCCTGCAATGACCTTTTTTTTTCTCCCTCAGCGTGTGGGAGATAGTGGGCCAGCAAGGTGGGGGACTCTCAGTCCTGCGGACTTTTCGGCTCATGCGAGTTTTGAAGCTGGTCCGCTTCATGCCAGCCCTCCAGCGCCAGCTCGTAGTCCTCATGAAGACCATGGACAATGTGGCCACATTCTGCATGTTGCTGATGCTCTTCATCTTCATCTTCAGGTGAGTGCTTCCGATTCCCAGTACTGAGGTTGCTCTGGGTTTTAGGTGGGATCCCATGATGAGGTGAGATGTATGGAGTCCATAACAGGACATGGCTGAGATGAACGGTCCCAGGAACAGCATCACTGGCCAATGCTGGCGATGGCTTGCTGCCCTGACTAAATTCTTTTAACTCTGGCCAAGCAAGACATCTGTCTTTGCAAGATGATTTACAAGGAAAATATTTCAGCTGGGTGATTCCTTGACATCACCCCAAGACAGCGGTCCCATCACTTACTGCCAAGAAGAGGATGATGTTCCTAAAATAGAGTCAACTGTGGTGCTACTTGTGCTCTCACAGGGCCTTTTCTTCTGAGAAGTGAGGTTCTGCAGTGGAACCATTAGAAGTAGGCTTGGCATAGCCCTAGAGTTTTGAATTTTGGTCTAGATTTTGAGAAAAGCCTGTCTCCTTGTAACAGCCAACTCCGGTCTTCCAGCAGTCCAGGCACTGGGAAGGCTGAAGAAAGCCAGTTTCTTCCATGGAATAAAGTCCCGTCTTCCAGTGAGACGTTTCACTCCAAAACCACCTCTTGCAGCTGTGGTGCTCAGTAGAGCTGTAAATAATTTGATTATTCAGGGTACTGGCTGAGAGCAGGGGAAAACAAGTTATTCTTTTAGTATCAATCTAAAATGAAAGGTGTGCTGTTTTCTTGTCAAAATTGAAAAAGTTGTTTTGGGTCCCCTGATATCTCTTATTCAGGCGTTTCACAGAAACCCTTTTTGTCTTCCTAATTCAATTTAAGCATATTTTGCTGAAAATGTGTCATTGCCAACCAGAAAGTCAAAACATTTTGTTTAGAAAATGTGGAAACAAAATGTTTTGACTTGAAAAAAAACAAAGCAGAAGGAAAAAGAAGGAGCAGGCATACTTTTTGGTTGAAACTCTTTGACAGATTTGACCCAAATTCACAACTGGTTTGCATGATCTCAAGGCATGTTTTTCAAGGAACGGAATGATTCATCTTTTTTTAAAAAAAAAAAAAAAAGGAATTACCCAGGTGAAATGAGGAGACACAGTCAGTCCTGCAATATGATTATTAGTTTTTAACAGGAGATGGATGTTGTCTCCTGTTGAGCCCCTGTTTCCCTCCTGTGCAGCATCCTGGGGATGCACCTCTTTGGCTGTAAGTTTGCTTCGGAGCGAGATGGCGACACGCTGCCTGACAGGAAGAACTTCGACTCCTTGCTCTGGGCCATCGTCACCGTTTTCCAGGTATGAAATGGAAAATGCCACAACTCGTGTGCGTTTTGGGGCTGCAGGGGCTGGGGTTGTTTTCCAAAGCACCTGGCAGAGCTCGGTGAAGCTCCTTGCCGTGGAAGAGAGAGGACCCAAAACCACAAGTGCAGGGACGTAGGGATCTTCAGACCGTTTTCTGCAATAAATCAGACAGCTCATGAGGAGGGGCTGCAGGACAGGAGCCAAGCCAAAAGCTTGGCATTTGCAGGGTATGGGCTGGGTGGGTGAAAATAAGTGTAGAGGGTGGAGATGGAGAGGAGATCAGGACCATTCGTGGTGATATCTTGACAAAAAATGGAATCCGTTCTAAGCCCATAATGGATATGTGCAGTTCTTTGTTCTAGCCGCTCTGAGCTCTCTAACTGCTGGGTCTGTGAAGGACTTTTAGTTGTTCTGGACAACCAAAGGAAAGGTCTGGCCCACGCGAGGCTGCACTCCCTTATGGCTGAACGTGTCCCTTGGTGTGGGTGGGAGTCGGGGCAGTTTGGGCAGGATCCCTAGCAGTAGCATGAGAGTCACGGTGGCTTTGGTCCTGTCTGTTCTCTGGCTCAGAAGATGGCTTGGGCCAGATTTATCCTTCTGTGGTTACAGCCATAGTGGGATGCTCATTTGGCCCATCCAGAGCACCAATACCCAGCCAGGCTCAGGGATAACGGCACGCAACCCTCCAGTATCTTCATTTTCTTGATGGCCCTTCCTTTGCAGATTTTGACCCAGGAAGACTGGAACAAGGTCCTCTACAACGGCATGGCATCGACCTCCTCCTGGGCTGCTCTCTACTTCATCGCTCTCATGACGTTTGGGAATTACGTTCTCTTTAACCTGCTGGTGGCCATCCTGGTAGAGGGTTTCCAGACAGAGGTAATGTTCTCACACTTGTGCCTTTGCTTTCTTCTAAAGTTTCAGAGCCTTCAGATCCTGGAATTTGATTTCCGAGATGGACAGCAATACATTTACAAGAGTGGTATATGAAAAAAGTGGGGGAAAATATTAGTTGTCTTTATTTTTTTTTTTTTTTTGCTTGCTTGCTTGCTTTTTCTTAGCCACAGTGCAATTTAATACAGCAAGGCCTCTAAACGAAGGGCTTAAAGGAAAAGCATTGTTAGCGTTAACGCAGGAGTGGGAATTCAGCGGTGAGTCGGGCGCTGCGGATGGGCTCGCTGCTATGACAGGGTCTTTGAACCAGTTCTCGTCGCCTTTGTCAGCCAGATTAAAAGCCCCTCCTGAAAACTTGCTCAGGCTGGTAAGAGGTTAGTGACACGATTGTCTCTTTCAGTGGTATGTGTTCACGGAGCTTTTCCTGCATCCGGCCCTGCAATGATCTGCACATTTTAAAGTACATGATTTCTGGTCTGTGCTGGCTACATCCTTGGGCTGGGAACCTCCACGAGACATCCCAGGTTGCTGGTGGCTTTCCTGGAAGGGCAAGGGGGCACTTAGGCTTGAACTCAACCTTTTTTTTCATCCTGCTGCCTTCCCAACTGTCCAGCTCGGAGCGAGTGATCATGTCACCCAGACCCCAGAGCAGGGGGCTGCGATGCCCACCTGCCCTTTGCAAAAATTTTCCGACTGTCCAAGAACATCAGTAAGGGGAGGGACCTTTACACCCTCCCAGGGGGCTGGAGAGGTAAATATAACCCAAAACTGCTCACTGGGATCTGTTTGTATAGGCTGTGCTTTTACATGCTATCTCTGATTTTTATAAGTGTTTTAGGGTGACTAAATATTATTTAAGATTTCTTGCTTGTGTGTCATAATATCCTACCACGCTATGAATAGCTATGCACAGAGCCATCTTTATTATTATTATTTTTGGAGCACAGTTTAGAGTTAAATTAATGGAGCCGCACCAGGAGACAGCAAGAAGAAATGGTTTTTATTTTTTGTATCGTCTCTTCTCCATGTCGGTGCTTTTCTTTTTTAACTGTTATTGTTGTAGCTGTTTCTGTCTGCAAATCCCCCCCCACCCCTATTCAGCCGAAGGGAAGGTCACGGCCAAGTTCTCCCAAATAGCACAATGTTCCCTGGCCTGAGCGAGAAGAGGTAAAAAGCTCCGTGTCTGCTTGTGATGACGGCTTCGAAACCGAACCTTTCTGTTCAGCCCAGCAAATTGATTCTCTGAAGGTCGCCGGAGCGGGAGGTCACCTGCGGCACCCGCTTCTTGGAGAAAAAGACTCAGCTTTTAAATGCAGCAGCCCCTTTTCCAACCCCTGGCCTCGAGGGAGGCTGACACCTCTGGTCCTCGGCTCAGACCACGTTTTCGTGTTGGCGCATCCCCGTGCCCGCCCGCCGGCATTCCCCCGTCCCCGCCGCGTGCCTGGCTCCTTGGGCAGCGATTTATCCCGCGCTCGCTTTGCTGGTACCGTGGCGTAACTCCCGATAAATTCATGCCCGAGCTTAACGCGCTGCGGTTTTATTCTGATAATCGAGTCCTTGAGGGCACGTCTGACCTGGAGCCAGAGGAACCGCCTGCAGCATCCCCTCCGTTTGCCTGGGCTGGTTTTTGCAGCAGGGCTGCCCCATCCCTGCCCTGGCTTCTCCTCTGCTGGGCAGCACCAGGCTGGTCCATGCCAGCTCTGGGGTTTCCGTGAAAGCTGCAAATGTGCTTTAACTGTGGTGTAAATCAGGAGTAACTTCTGATTCAGGAAAGCACTGGGACAGCCTGAAGCCAGCGATGCTCATGCCGGGAGCAGGACCCAGCGCAGCCTCCAAAGATCGGGCCCTCTCTGGCTCATTCTGCCCATCTCCAATGCCAATGATCTTGCACCAGGTTCCTGTAACTTGTGGCTCTGATGACAGTGCTGGGTTATCACAGACTTTGATGATGACATTTTAATAATAATCTTTCTTCCATGTCCTTGTTACTCTGAGCTCTCTGCAATCCTCCAGTAAACTGCAATGGGATCAAGGGATCCCTCAGCTCAGCCCAAGTTTCCCGCAACAGACAGGGAGCAGATGTCTCCTGGAGGTCGGCCGCCAGCTCTGGCCTCGCTGCTTTATTCAGCTTTGCAAACAGATCTTGTTCTGGTTTTTGCTAGCCAGCACACAAAGGATCTTCTCTTAAGCAGAATTAATAGAGAGATCATCTCTTGCTGTAAACAAACCCCGGCGTATCCCTCCTGTGATTGCACTTGACCCTTCTTCTGAGTTGAGTTGGCTTTTTTTTTTTCCATTCTCCTTCAGATTTGTGGGCTGAAACACAATCCTGGGGCTGCTGCCTTTATCTCCTGGCTCCTTGAGTGCCTTTCCTCAATCTGCAAGCACCTCGTTAATTTTAGTGCATGGCTTTGCAGCCCCAGTTGCTAAGCAGCCGATGTATATAAGCAGTTGAGAAACAAAAAGGACCTGTTCCAAACTTTAAATACCGAGCAATATATTTTGCAGGGTTGAGTTTCTTTTTTTTTTTTTTCCTTCCCCCCCTGCTTTCTTTTTATTTCATAACCTGCTTCTCTCTTGCAGGCAGAGGTGCAGGCAGCGCCTTCTGCAATGTGGTTATTTTTGACTGCGTGTTCTCCCATTTAGCTCGAGCTCGGTGTTGGTGCGGGGAAGGTGACAGGGAACTCCGTTTGATTGAGCTGCTGACTCAAAATTGCTGCTTGACCTCTTGGGTCTCTGCCTGGGGACTTCTCTCCGATGCGGGCAATGACTCCTCTTTGTCAGGCATGGAGCTCCTTTCCCAAGGGGGCTTCCTAATAACATCTCCAAGTGTATTCTTCCATTGGTAATCTCCTGGTTTCCTTGTCCCCAGCTGTCCTCACTCATGGGTTCATTCCTTCCCCACCTTTGTGCCTGCTCCCTCCTGGCACGCCAGGTCCTCCAGCCCCTCCATCCTTTCCTCTGCAGGAGGACTTTACCAGCTCTCTGGATGTAGCGTTCTTGGAGAAATACAGACTTTGACTTCTTCTGGGCTTCGACCAGAGGGAGTGATCCCTTCTCCTTCAGTAGGATTTTGGATGGTGTTTTTCTTGCATCCCTCACCTTTTGCCTTCGTATTGGTTTCAATGGGATTTGCCTTGTGAAAGAAAAGCGTTTCTGGGTTTTCTTTCTATGGCTTTTTGATGTCTCTCTCTGTTACAACCAAAGACTTTAAATTAAGTGTCCGTCACGTGCCTCGCAAGACACTGTTGGCCCGTCCCGATCCCAAAGCCGCTCCATCTGTCTTAAACTCTTCATCATAGCCTAGAGTGGGATGAGTTTTGCATACCATGTAGCAACTGGAGGAAAGATCCATTGTTTAGGGAAAGGCTGACTGGTGGTGCTGGGAAGAGCTGCTGGGGCCACTTGTGTGGCAAAACCCTGCCAGGCTGGGGCTGTGCCCCCCTGCCCCTTTGGGCACCCTGCCGATTTTAACGGGGATGAGGAGGGATCTGAACTCACAGCGGGTTGTGGAGACTTTCCTTAAATGAGGTATTTCACCTGGCTGTAAGAGGACTGATACTGTGTTAATCAAACATTCATTAAAAGCCTCCGTTGCTGCCTAATGAAGGCAGAATAAATAAAGATCCTATTATGCAGCTGCAAAAAAAAAAAAAAAGTAAATAAAATGGTCATGTTTTCAATACTTAGCTGGTGTTTCATTAGCACAATTATCGCTGAGGAGCTGAAGCAAGCTCTGTTCGAAACACTTAATTTAAAGGTAAGGCTGGTCCTTTTGAAGGGCTTCGCTCCACCTGAGATCTTCCAGCCCTTCCCTGCTCTGGGTGCCGTGGGTGCCCCAGCCCGGCTCCCCATCGTGGCCCTGCCCCTCCTCCTTCTCCTTCCCCTCCTCCTTGCCTTCCCTGCCTTTTTCGTGTGGTTTTTTTTTCTCTCCTTTGATTCCCCATTCAGTCCTGCTGTTGAAACTGTGAAAATTGAACCCCCCCTTCCCCTTCCT